CCCATATAAGGAAAGAAATTTGTCCCGTTCTTCTCACGCTCTGCACACTGAAAGTATACATACCCTGCCCAATCAGCAGATGACTCGCAGGTTCCTTTGTTCCCTGGCTATAAAAACAGACCAGTAACCCTTGCTCAGGGTCTCCCTGGCTATCAGGAAGTCGGCCCGCTGTTCTGGCAGCGACCCTTCCCTCTAATAAATTCTATCTTCTTTTCATTCTGCCTTGTGTCTGGAAATTCTTTTCCAACCCACGTTCATACCATGACAACTGTGGGTACCTCAAGAAGAAACGCCCACCCTATATGATCATTTCTGACCCCTCAGACCCAAGCTGACCACTATCCTGATTGTTAATGTAATAATATCTTGTTTGTCACTTATCTATCTTTGAAATTTACATGAATGCAATCAAATTGTATGACTCTCTTACCTTGCTGAGTTGTTAAAACTCCTAACTGGATTAACTCAAAACTCCACACTAAAGGCTTTGCAGAAGTAAATGTATGCCCCCATTCAGGGATAAAAACTATTTTCCTCAGTTACTATGGTGTTGCAGGACCCCAAGATCAACCCTCCCTCCGAGGTTCAATGATTCACTGGGAGAACTCACAGCAAAACATACAAAGCAAAATCAGCAAAAAAGAAAAGGTGCATTGGGCAAAGTCCAGGAAAAACCAGCCACATGCTTCCAAGGATCCTTTCCCAGTAGAGTTACCCAGGCCATTAATACATGTGAAATAGTACCAACCAGGGAAGCTCATTAGAAATTCAGTACCTAGGGTTTTTATTGGAGCCTGGTCACATAGGCAGTCTCTGCCTGGCACATACCAGAATTTCAGACTCTCAGAAGGAAAGCAGGTATTTAGCATAAATTATATTGTTTGCACAAACACTTTAGGCACAGTAAGCCATTCTTATCAGTGAGGATAATGGGAATCTTCTCAAAATCCAAGTTCTAGTTGCAAGCCAAGGGCCAAACTTCAAGCAGGTCTTTCTAAGGATAAGAAGTCTCAGGTCTGCTACGTTAATCCTTTTCTGCACACTACTGTCCTAAACAAAATGTCTGGCTTTCAACAATAACAACAAATTTCAAGGCATATGAAAAGGCAAGAAAAATCAAGACACTCCCAAAACACAAAGCAACAATCAGAACTAGACTCAGGTGTTCTTAGCTTGTTGCTGCATAACTTCAGTCTCTGCCTCTGCCCTCACACAGCCTTCTTCTATCTTCTGTCTATTGTAAGTGGATTTAGGTCACAACCAGATAATTGGGATAATCTCAGCTAGCGATCCTTAACTTAATTACACCTGTAAAGACCCTTTTTTCCAAATAAGGTCACATTCACAGGTCCTGGGGGTTAGGATGTGGACATATCTCTGGGGTGTCACCATTAAACCCAAAACAACCTGTTACTATATTTAGTTTTATCCTAATAGATTTCCTTAGAATTCTCCTCTTATGTCACTGATCTCAGTGGTTTAGCAGAGCAAAGACCAAACTCTTGATCTACCCACCAAAACTTGTTCATTCTATAGTTTTATCTTAGTAAATTACAATTCTGGTCTTCTAGTTTCTTGGGCTGCAATATTTGGGTTGGCCTAGGTTCCTCTCTTTCTCTCATATCCCACATCAAATCTATTACCAGATCCATTTAGCTCTATCTTCAAAATATATCTAGAATCCAACTATTTCTCCTAACTACCACTGCTATCACCCTAGACCGAGTCACCATTATCTCTTACCTGGATTATTCCAACAGCCCATTGGCTAGTTTCCCTGCTTCCTTTTTTGTCCCCCTACACCCTACTCTCAGCACCCCAAATGATGTCTTTTAAATATAAGATCATGTCACTCTTCTGTTCAAAACCCACTATTGCTTTTACATCTTGCTAAGACTAACCGAACTTCTTAAAATATTCTCCAAGGCCTTACATAATTTGTCCTCTCATTAGCTCTTTCACCTCATCTACTACTCTCTACTTTGTCATGCTGGCCTATTTACTGCTCCTTGGATACACCAGGCTTGTATCTAACTTATGGCATTTATGTTTAGCTGTTTTCTCTGCTTATAATGCTCTTTATCCAAATATCTTCAAATGTCACTGCTTCTTCCTTTTGTTTTTGATCAAATATTTTCTTCTTAGGAAGGCTTTTCCTAACCATTCTATTTAAAATCACAACTCCCTTGTCACTCACTACCTTATTTTCAAGCTTCATTTTTCTCTACAGATCTTACCTTTATCTGGAACACTATATACTTCATTTACACGTTCACTGGTCACTTTCCCAGACTAGAATGTAAACTCCTTGAGGACAGGAAATTTGGACCGTTTTGTTCACTGATGCTTTCCTAGGGCTTAGAACAGCACCTGGCACAGATAAAGGGCTCCAAAAATATCTGCTGAATGAAGAAATACATTTTGACAGCAACAGGAAATAGGCACTTTCATAAATTTTTTGGTGGAAATGGAAAGTGATTCATCTTTTGTGGACTGCAAATACTTATACATAACCTCTGACCCAGCACTTAGAAGAAATCGAAAGATGCATATGCACATCTGTGCAAAGCTGAATATATAAGGATTTCATTCCAAAATTGCATAAACCTGAAAACATCCTAAAAATTCACTAACATAGTATTAGTTAAAGTATGACATTTCCCCAACCATAAAGCATTATACCACCATAAGAAAAAGGAATATATATTAATATGGAATGTCTTCTAAGAAATAATAGTGAGTAAAAAACAAAGTGCTTTATACTATACTAACATTTGTGAAAAATAAAGATGTTATATATACAGATATGTTGGTATAATCATAGAATAACTCAAAGTAGTTAACATAAGAAACTAGTCACTGTAGATACATGTGGAGAAGAGAAATACTGAAAGGGAGACTTCTTTTTTCACTATAACCTTATTTAAATTTTTAAAATCGATGAGATGATTCCTTTAAAAACAATTATGAAGTAAAAAAACTTGGCAGAGAGGGGAGCTAAGAGGAAAGTAGCAATGATTTCTAAGCTAGCAGCTTCTCGTGGTAAAGGAGATTGCTGAAATATGACTGTGGGAAGTCAATGACAATGGTAAACTATAACCCTGAAGCTTTTAGCAATGGAAAGATAGAAAATGGAATGTAATAAGAAGAAACAGCAGCATGAAACATAAGAGTTTTAAAAGACTACAGATGTATGAAGGACTGACTGCATATGCAGGCTATGAAAATGAAGAGAATATGGTCCTCTAGGATCTGCTTAAATAAAGAGGGCACTGATAGAGGAAGAATGATGAGTGAAGGATTCACATCAACTAAAACTCAAGAAGAGTAGGGTCTATATAGCAAAACCTGGAAAATATTTTATGGTGTAAATTGCCTCACTGAACATCTATCTGTGCTCTCCCTTGTCCCAGGCACATCTGCCTGGTTCCCACTCATTCACTTGTACAGAAAAGGCTCCCACTCCTTTTCATTTCTTCTACTCACCACCTATGGCCTATTTTCTTGTCCTAACTTGAAGATTTCATGCAGTTTGGTGATGTGAGAGCCTGTATATAGGAAAATCACAAAAGGCTTGAATTCAAGCACCATCTCCAAACTCAGACTGACCTTGGGGCCTTTAAGGAAATTACCATATAAAGAGGAACAAAGTAAATAACCTTTTGCCTTAAAGGTTGAGCATATACAATCATGTCACAGAGGGCTTGAGAATATCTGAAGCCTACATCTCAAAGCTGAACCCATTATGCCATGTAAAGATTCTAAATATATCAGAGATGTCACTTTACTTTCAAAAGTTGGATTATACCGAGAAGTTATCCATACATAATGTGGCTATGTTGCTCTAGTTCTCCAGCATCATATACCTATACAACTTCCTCTAAACATCTTTTAATTGTGGCTGAGCCTCCTGGTTGAACTGAACAATCACATCTCTGAATATTTACCTCATCAATGTCTCCCAAGGAACAGAGAAGAGAAAAACGTCTGGGGATAAGTTTGTGGACATAACCCAAAACAGGCACCCCCATAATAAAATACACCCTGTTTAAAAAGCCATACTGATCCAGTATTCTATTCCAGAACAAAATGTTTGGAATCTTAAGTGTTTATATTAAAATGGTATAAGTTATTTATTACATCAACAGGGAGCTTTTTCTCCTTAAAATTGAATCTACAGGAAGACATATCCTATTATCTCAGTTTGAAGAGGAAATGAGGCTGAGAGGATTCAGATTCCTCCACTATCTCAGCCACCCATGCAGTGGCCCACAATCACGTGATGACACACATATTTTCATACACACACAATCTTGCCCTACCACGTGCACACACACACAATTACTCCCAACCACACAAGCCCACAATATGACCCTCCATCCTGACAAAGCCACTTATAATCTTGATCCCACCTCTCTCTCACACTCATCAATTTTACCTGCATGCAGTCTCTCTTCCATTCAACTAACCCCTAAATGTAGTCACACACGCAATCTCATCACGGTCTCACACTCGGGCCCTCCTTCACCCACTCTCGCATACGTGACTGGGCTTGTGGATTTCTCCCCTTCAAACTCCCTAGGCTGCTTTGGTCCCAGACACTCACGTCCTGCATTCGGGTTCGCTCTTCTGGCTCCCCGACACTTTCCGCAGCAGCTTGCCTCTAGGCATCTGCGCGCTCCCAGGGCAAAGCGTAATTCCTACCAGCCTCCTGGGCATTTAACTGAGGCCAACTCCCGCCTCAGCGCCTAGGGAACGCAGTCTATCTTGGCCGGGTCCACTCCGCCGCTGGCAAAGTCCTGGACTACATTTCCCAGCAGGCCGTGAGGCCCAGGATGTTGCAGGGTGAGCGCCAAAACCTGAAAGAACCGCAACTTGAGGCTGGGATGTGTCAAAGAAGTTGCACCAGACAAGGTAAACAGATAAGGAAGGCTTATTATAAAGACTATCGCAATAGGGAAGAGAGATTGAACTCAACTGGGTATGTAACAGTAGCTGGGGATTTATAGCCACTGGGCAGGGTGATGGAGTCAGTGCGGTCGACTTGACTAAAGTTTGGTCGAGGGAGTTCTTGTCAGCTGAGACTCGCGGAAGCCTCAGGTGCGCTGCCGGATCCAGGCTTCCGCGGCCAGGGGGAATCAGGATGAAGAGGAGATAGCTTTTCGTAGCCTGTCGCTTTCTGGGCTACATCTCCCAGAGGCCTCTAGGCCTAGTGCTCCTTCCCGCGAGAACTAGACCTTCTCCTGAGGAGTGGACGGGATTTTCTGACGGGTTGGGGCAAACGGCCTCAGGGTGCTGTGCGAGGTGCTGGACTCTATTTGTTTCAAGTAGAGTGGAGCGGTGCTGACCAGACCGGAGGAGTCGTAGGTGAGATGACCTGGAGCCCGGGGTTGGAGCCGGGAGTGTCTGGAACCTCCGGCCTCTACGGGAGCCAGCTGGGAAGGGGCGATCGTGAGGAGTGTGTGTCTGATTGTGGTTGTGTCTCTGTGTCTGTGTGACCTTGTACCAAACTGTGAGGGCGGGAGACGGGCTTGATTGTGGATTTGATTGTGCAGGTGTGTTGGGGGTTTAATTGTGTGACCGGGTGTGGCACTGTTTGCGAGTGTTAGGTTCCTTGACCGCGGTTGTAAAACTGTGTATACACTTGGGATGTGTGTGTGTGTATTTATGATCATTTGCTGAGCCGTGGGTGTGGGATGGCTTAACTGTGAGATTTGTGTCTGTTTATCCTTGGGATGTGTGTGTGTGTGTGATATTGTTGGTGGTAGGGTGCGTGTGAATTTGTCATTGTGTCCCCATGATGTATGTCACTGGGAATGTGAGTACGTGGGGGTGCCTATGACTGCGATTGTGACTGACTGTCCCCGGGGTGTGTATGATTGCGTGGCCGTCTGCAGCCCATTTTGTTGAGGTTTGGGGTGCCTGTGTGCCCGTGATGTGAGTTCCTATGATTATGTATCCATATAGCACTGTAGGTGTGGGGCGCCTTTGTCTGTGCCTTTGTGACTCCAGCGCTCTTTTACCAGGAGACCTCTGTGAGCTCAGGGACACATTCTGCCCAGAACTGCAAATGACCGTGCTTGTCTGTAATGCTGGTATTGAGCAGGACGCCCAAGACTTGTCTGACCTAATATCTGTAGGTGGTGGGTGGTAGGTTGACTTGGGCTCCCAGAGAGCCTGGTTTTTCCTGACTCCTTTCTCTCTCTCCAACTCTTCTCTGCTTGCAGAGTCTTCCAGAGTGGAGTAAAGAATGGCTGTTGAACATCCACAAGGCACCTGCAAGGTAGCTTGTCGTTTCCCCTTGTTTCCTGAAATCCTCTTTTCTATGTCAGGATATGACTTGGTTTCCTTCTCTTGAAAATTCTTGCCTGTCAGGTGACCTGATCTATGGAATTTTTCCTTTGAGAAATGTGATTTGCTCCAAAACCCAACCCACACACGTGACTTTCTCTTCCTAATTTGACAAATGGTTTAATTTTTCTTTATGCTCTCTTAAAAAAATATATTTCTTTTTTATTATAAAATGAAATTATCTTAAATAATTTCAAAAGTACAATTCCCAATGAAGAAAATTTAAATTCCCAGTTAAAACCAATGCTAAATTTTTGATAATTTCTTCCCAGTATGTTTTATGTACATATATAAAGTGTGATATTTAAAAATTGATTTTATTCAGCATTTACCGTTTTATAGCCTACACTTTCACACAAAATTATATTTAAGTATTTCCCCACATAATTTAATATTGGAAACATTTTTAGAGGTGCATATTATATGAATGTCTATCTTTTTTTTTCTTTCAAATTAGATACAGAAATGGCATTTAACACCCATTTGTGCAAATAATTATAAAGACCGATGTAAGGAATACCCAGGTCAAGAAAAGAATACAGCCATCTCTAAAGCAGCCTCTGATGTACCCCTCCACAATCACAAACAATTATGCTCTTCTGGTGATAACCACTGTGATCATTTCTTTGTCTTTCATTAGAGCTTTGATATGAATTCCAAAACCACATAGATTTAGTTTTTGTCTGTTTTCTATCTTTGTATGAATAGACATTCTTTTGTGTCTTTTTTCATGAAAAACGTTTGTGAGCTTCATTCATATTTCCTATAACTACAGTTCATTTTTTTCCATTGCTCTCTCTATACTATCTTGTATAATAGTATCAGTTTACTACTTATCTATTCTACTCTTCATGGACATTTGACTTGCTTCTAGTTTTTGGCTGCTATAAGCAATGTGACTACAAATGTTTTGTGCACATATTTTGGTACACATGTGCTTGTATTTCTTTCATATATATACTAAAATTGTAATTAAACTGTTGAGGGATTGGGTTTGCGCATCTTCAATTTTACTAGACAGTGCCGGACTGTTCTCTAAATATACTATGCAAAGTTTTTACTTGAATCAGCAGTTTAAAAAGGCTCCTTTTGTTTCACAGTCATGCCAGCTCTTGGCATTGTCACACTTTAAAATTTTTGCCAATTTGGTAGATACCTAGTGTTATCACATTTAATTGATATGCCTGTATTATCAATGAAATTGAACACTAATTCTTGCCCGCCTGGATATCCTCTTTTGTGAAATGCTTGTTCAAATATTTTGCCAATTTTTAACTGGGTTGTTTTTCTCTGACTGATTTATAGCAGTTGTATATATACATAATATGTATCTTCTATATTTTAGTTTACTGTCAGTTGCACATGTGACAAATATTATCTTCTACTCTGACTTGGTTTTTCACTCTGGTGTCTTCGGGTGAATAGAGGTTTTGGATTTCAATGTGATGAAATCTTTTTCAATAGTGCTTGTTTAAGAAATTTTCTGCTACCTCAAGGTAATGAAGATTTTCTTGTGTTCTCTTCTAAAAGGTTCCTCGTTTTTAGCTTTAACATGTATGTTTTTACACTACCTGGAATTGATTTGTGTAGGGTAGGGATTCAATTTCATTTTATCCCCCATGTGAGTATCCAGTTGCTCCAGTATCATTTATTGAAAAGTTCATCTTTTCTACACTGAGCTGCAGTGCCATTGTAGCCAAAAATCAAGTGACCATTATGGCCACATCTGTTTCTGGACTTTATGTTTTGTTCCATTGCTCTGTTTGTCTCCCCTTGCAGCAATACTCTGCTATCTTATTCACTGTGACTTTATAATATTTGGAACAAGTCCTCTTACCTTCTTGTTCCTCAAGAATGTCTTGGCTGTTTGTGTTTCTTTGCATATTCCATATACATTTTTGAAATAGTTTGGTTCCACTCAAACATCTTTTGGTATTTTGATCGAATTGCATTGTGTCTATAATTATGTGAGTAGAAATTTGGGGAACCTTCTAATAACATGAATCTCTCAATTGATATTATATTTTCTGCATGTTTCTCATCAAAGTCTTGATTATCTCCTGTAAATAGTCTTTGGCAGGGACTTCCCTGGCGGTCCAGTGGTTAAGACTCCGAGCTCCTTGTGCAGGGGGCACAGGTTCGATCCCTGGTCAGGGAAGTAAGATCCCACATACCGCAAGGCGCTGCCAGAAAAAAAAAATAGTCCTTGGCAAATAGGAATAATTTAATCCATCGTATATAGTATTTCCCTTTTGCGTTGACTGCCAGGAATTTGAGCACTTCAGAAATGATCAATTGTAGTAATAATCTTAGCCTGGGTTTTTGACATTGAATACCTATGATGTATGACCTTTGTGTATGATTAAAATTTTTTCTTTATTCTTAGCCTCCTCAAATACATTTTTGGAAGCGGGGGATATAAAAACGAGATATAGACTTAGATACAGATGTAAATATTTATTGTCTAATATTTTAATTTTAATAACATTCTTGTCTAATCAAGTCAGATTTGTGTGGTACCTTTTGCTGTTCTCCCTATATTATATTTCTTTTTTAACTACTCTTTCCACTTCTCTTCCCCAGCCCCCTCAACCCCCTCCCCCACACTATCCTCCATCAGGCAGTGTCTGCCTCTACCTCTTTGCCATCTATTCTCACTAACACTTTAGTTTAAATATTGGCTCCCTCAGAAAAAAAAGAAACAAATCATCCCTCGGGTTATTTTACCTACACTACTAGTCTCTGTAACATGGTATAAAAATTAGGGATTCTAGTATCAAATGTGACATCTGATCTCAGCTACACCACCTACGAGCTGTTTAACCTGTAAACAAGAGGTTCTCATTCTCAATGTTGTTGAGAATGAAATAAGATATGTAGAACACTTGGTACACATCAGAAATTCAATAAATGTTAGCTCCCCTCTCCTTTATTTCCCATTCTTGGGACCTCTAAATCAATTATGGTATAAAGTGGTTGCCTAAAAGTCTTTTGGTGGGTCCCAAAGTCTTTTGGTGGGTCCCAAAAGATCTTTTTTTTTTTTAAATTGCTGAGGTATAATCAACATATAACATTATATTTGTTTCAGGTGTACAACGTAATGATTCAATATTTGTACATACAGTTGACCGTTAATGTGGAGGTTAGGAGCGCTGACTCTGCACAATCAAAAATCTTCATATCACTTACAGTCGGTCCTCCATATCCATAGTTCCTCTGTATCTGCATTCTCGGATTTAACCAACCACAGATCCTGTAGTACTATAGTATTTACTACTGAAATAAATCTGCTTATAAGTAAAACTACTCAGTTCAAACCCATGTTGTTCAAGGGTCAACTGTATTGCAAAATGATCACCACAGTAAGTCTAGTTAACATCCATCACCATACATAGTTACAATTTTTTTCTTATGAATTTTAAGATTTACTCTCTTCATAACTTTCAAATGCAATACAGTATTATTAAGTCTACACCATGCTGTACATTATATCCCCAAGCTTTATTTATTTTATAACCGGAAGTTTGTACCTTTTGACCCCCTTTACCCATTTCACCCAACCCCACCCCCTCACCCCCTGTCTCTGGCAACCAACCATCTGTTCTCTGTATCTATGAGCTTGGTTTTTGTTTGCTTATTTGTTTAAATTCCACATATAAGTGAGATCATAGGGTATTTTTCTTTGTCTGTCTTACTTCACTTAGCATAATACCCTCATGGTCCATCCACACGGTTGCAAATGGCAAGATTTCATTATTTTTCATGGCTGACTAGTATTCCATTGTGCATTGCCTACCTGTTGTTATATTATTTGAATAGTTTGTATTATGTATTTGAATTTTTAAATTTTATGTCTCTGTGCTTGTACCTGTGCCATGTTTAGATCATTTCTTTTTTAAAATCTTTGAATACTTGGTCAAATATGTCACTTTTCTGAAGATAGCTGTATACTTTATTTCTTTCATTACAAAAAAATTATTTATTACAACAAATTTGTAAAACACAGAGAAGCACAAATAAGTAACAAAAGTTATCTATAATCCTGTCAGTTAAAGACAACTGCTGTCAATACTGAGAATTTGTTTCTAAATGTGATCATACTATGGCTACTGACCTGTAACCTGCCTTTATCATGCCAAAATATCAATACATTGTGAACAACTGTCCATGTCTTTACACATTTATCTTTACCATGAGTTGTAATGGCCTTATCATGTTACCATTTTACCAAGCCCCCTTTTTTGAACATGGTTTGCTTACAAATTATTGCCATTATAAACAATGAGCATCTCCTTAGACCGAATGCTAGTGCTTTCCTTTTTAAATTTTATTTTTAGTTAAATTATATTTAGTTAATAATCATAATTTTGTTATAAAAATAATTTGTATGTTATGAAGGGGTTCAGGTCTGATGTAACTACAATCCCCAGTCCAAGGTATCTACTCAAAGTACCCAAAGGTAGCCACTGTTATCAGTTAATTATTTATCCTTTTTAAATATCCTTTTACATGCATACACATGTAAATGTGTATGTGGTACTGTCTTGTCACTTAAAAATATTTCTATATAAAAAGGATTATAAGTGTATCCTGCAAAATGTGGAAAGTAAATGAATTATAGAGTGGGTCCAAGGATTGAGTTGGTTCACATAAAACACTTAACAGAGGACCTGCCCATTTACTTAGTGTCAGTTAGTTATTGTTACTGTTTGTGCTTTTTATTCTGTGTGGAGAATTGTTCACTTAAGTATAGAGCTCATTTTAATTGCTTCATGTAAGGCCATATTTTATAATATGAAATCATGGAGATAATAGAGTACACATATTCTAAACTTCAGTAAACACTTCCAGTACACCCAGCTCTCTCTGCTAGAACCTGTGTTTCCACTGCCATTAGGTTACTTTTGGCTGCATGAGGCAGAAAAACACAAC